ATTCACTTGAGTAAATAGTAAGAAGACATGAATTTAATATATTAAGAAATTATTTTATACACTATTTCTGATATCATAATAACAATAGGAATATTTAAAATTAGTACCATCAACATTATTCAGATTAATCGAATCTTGGTTACCTAGAATTGATCATTTTATTGACTTAATTTCAGAGAAAGACTAAAGGGAATTTCGTCATACCCATTAATTACTGTGGGCTAAATAAAGTTATACTGTAAAATTTGTAGTATTGATCGAGTATACAGCCAATTGTTTTTATAATATTCAGAAAAAAAGAAAACAATGATTTAACCGATAGATTGATGATACTTAATTGTGGGTTGTATCAAGGAGGTAAAGTGTGAAAATCAATGGAAAACAGAATAGTTGTTTTAACCTACTTCTGGCCTCTTCAGAAGTACATAAAAATCATTTCAGGATGAAAATCAATTGGAACGATGGTCTTGTCTTGTCATAAATTCATCATAGTTGGGAATATGGATTTTTACTTTTAAGTAGTGGATTACAGGAGAATCCTAGTATTGGATGTACAATTACAAAACAGCTTTATATTGTCTTGCTGTACCTAAAAATCTTGAATCCTGTTCATACTCTTTACAAAGTGATTTAGAAGCATCGTTTTGCATGCCTCAGGCATTTTTAACAATATTAATGATGAGAGGAAACTATATTTAGTTATCAGCCACTGATGGGACAGAAGCTTTGATATTTGCGAAAAATGATGATAATCTAAGTTACTAACTAATTTTATCTAGTGAACTATTAGAGAGATAAGTATTTCTTCCTAGTAGGGAGTTTCTCAGGAATGCATATCCATAATTACTTCAGAGATAATACTTAGAACCTTCAGGTTTCTCACAGAAAACATTATCTTTATATTACTGAGTAATCTCTATAATCCTTCAGCTTTATTACAAAAACATTATTTAATAAAAACAATGAATCATTATAGATACTATGGTCCATTTAATGTCCATTTACTTTACTGAACAACAAATTAACGTTAATCCGTCTTATCTGACAGGATACGCAGAGATAGGAATTAGAACTGAAGACTGAATAATCCATGAAAATACTGTCTAATTACTTATAAGGTGTATGTATACGTTATCGAACTGTTCATTGCATAATAACTAATATTTGTTTTATTTTGTGGGCTGTTATGGTGTAGTTGAATAACTGGAAAGTTATCCATCGACGAAGTATGTTAATGCTGTTAATTCTGTTGAATATTTATGAAATTTTTAAACCAATTCACGGTATGGTTACAAAAAATACACAGAAATTTATTCAATATAAGTGTTTTTATAAGACAAATAATTAACAATAAGGTTATCTTAACAATCCATGACTCCACAAATTTCTTTCGACCAACTGGCATTCATTGAATATTCATAAATAGAATGGAAAAAGGTAGAAAGATAAATTTATTTTCCATTGGAGCATAATAATAAATTCTAAAACAGTGTTATAATTTTAAAAAATTTTGAAGGAACAAGTCGGAGATTTTAAATACTTGGTTGTTACACATTGACCAAGTTCGGGTCCATGTAATCAGCTATGAGTTATATACTTTATATGATGGTTATTGATACTCTTTGGCCATTAAAACCGTAGTAGACAGAACGATTTCTGAACATGCTATCTGAATTTAGATAGTAGTCCTTTGACCATGAGACCATCAGTCTTTTTAGATAACTTTCATTTCATTTGAAAAACTTCTTACCACTAGCAAAAGTTAGTCTACATCAAACTATTGAAGTACCATTTCTAGTTTAGCAGAAATTTTCCATCTAGTAAGATATATCACGGACTTAAAAAGTGACTTCTAATTAATTTACTTATTTTAGCAATGCAGCATTAAGTGTACATCACCAGTTTCTTCAGTGTCTTGAAAGTCAATCGCTAAGGCCAAGCTTCAGCATAGTTGTCAGTCGTCACCAGGACGCATTCGCAAACTTGGAAAAGATGAAGTTACTTGTAGGATTTTAGCCTTTGTCATACAGTGTCATATTCATTGACATTAATGGTAAGCTATCCGGATAACGACTGGTTTTCTGTAATACTAGAATCCTTGCACTAATAGACTATTTGGTAGAAAAGAAGTTATATTTTCTAGTCATTAGTCCTGATAGAATTTTATCAAACAAACTACATGTCTTTGTTTAAGTCAATACTAAATATTTTAACATAACAACTGAATACGCTTTATATTGGTCACCAAGTTACTTTTATGTACAAACCTTACGATAACTGATGTTTCGATTAACCATGATATCAGTACTGAGCCGTTCATTTTTAGATAAAACCTAACCATAGAGCTTTCTACACTAAAAGCAAATAGATCTTCTACTAGTGATCGTTAAAAATCTTAGAAAAATCAATACCGTCTTATGCATAAGGAATTTCACTAAATGCGTTAGGCGTTGAACTAATCTGTTACACCCCTAACATTATGTTGACTTTATTAAGAACAGACTCTTAAGTAAGAATTTCTGGAATACTTGACTTGCAAATTTAGCTTGCTTAGCAAGTAAGTAACTAGATCTATTAGATCAATTACGAGAAATGTATTTAAAAATAAGATGATCATTATTTGACATTGAGAAGTTATGTTTCACAGTGACCAAAGTCAGTATTGTACAAATCTCTAGACTTTAACAGGAAGATATAACCACAAAAAATAAGGCTGTACAATAAAAATTATTCCTACTGCTTTTTGAATCAGCAGTTTGAAGATAGCGATTCCAAATAACAAAATGTTCCACCTTATAAATATTATTTGGCGGCTTAAAATAGAACAAGACTCAAAAGTGTGACCTAATGGTGGAAGACTGATTCCTTTATACCTCATTAACTTATCCAGATTATTTACAACATTATTCTAAGTAATTATTCGCCTATCTATCTTATTATTACCTTTGGGCAAAAATAGCTCTTATATCCACTAAAATGTTGATCATTTTAAAACATCTGGTAGTATAAAAGAAAGGTAAATATCTTATTTAAACATTTCCAGTTGGGTATACTTCAAACCAGGTGAATTAAATTACAGATGATTTAACATATGACTAATAAATGGATACGTAATTTGATGTGGTATTGATAGTGAAGTAGAAATAACCGATATCAATTCCATATGTTCAGTGTAGTGAATCACTAAAGTTTACACTACACTGATAATACGTATCAACTAGGGTGGACGACTATTTAATGGTATGAACTATATTTGCAAAAAAAAGAACTTCACACGTATGAATCCCGAAATTTTATAAAATATTTGAGGTATCCAATCATCCGACCCTTTAGATATTATACAATATAATGAGCATGTGACTGTTTAAAAGATTAAGCTTAAGTGGTAGAAATGTGCTTTCCATCAAATAGTCAAATTATTACAAGACAAAATACGACAATTTTCTAGTTCAAATGATTGTAAAGAATTGTTTTGACCACTAATTTCACCTGTGCGACAAAAGTAAATTTCACAAGGTGTAAATGGATCCAGTTTATATCGTATTTTTCTCCCGAAATATGACAGTTTATCATTTTGTAACCTATACTATTTCTTATGACTATCATCAAGACTACCACAGTTCATTTATTGAAGATATCATTATGTGTATATGAACCTAGTATGATACAAAGCCATGAAAATAAATTACCAGGAAGTTCCAGAAACTGTGTTTTGTGCCGTTTAAATTTTTTTTTACTAAAGGCATATATGTAATCTTCACAAAAACAATACCCCCTGTTGAGTTTAGATACATTTTACCCGGTGTCACAGTCCTATAGAAGGTCGACTGAGGCCCAAATGGACTAGCAGTACTTGTTCTGACTGCGATAATGAATGATGCGGGTCTGAATCTCACGGGTAGAATAAATTTTCTCAAGATAATAGATAAGACTTCAGAAGAAATGCCAACTAGTGCAAAATATACATTCAGAGGTTTCTGCCAACTTCATTCAACCATCTAACAAACATGGAACAGTGTGTCAATCTGTGTTTTTGTTCTAAACATAGTTGGTAGACTATTGAGATACATATTTGCTAAATACCGAACACTTTTGCCTATAAAAAACATTTCTATAAATGTTTATAACTAGGAAGGGATTTTTTCATGAAGAAAACTGCCTGGTAAAATGTAATTTGAAGTATACCTACCGTTTAGTTCGTAATTCTATTACATATATAAGAATCCTAAATATCGCCATATTGAAGTTGATTTATTTATAATCTCAAATGATCCAGTTTTACCGAATAACATATGATTTTAGATCTAATGAAGTTGTTTAAATTATAATTCCGAACTGCCTATTGAAAATATTGTGAAACAGGCTGACAAGAGAAAAATAATCATGTTAGAGCTTCGTCATCACTTAACCAACATATTTTGACTGCATTTTGTTAACTGAACGATTAAAGAATAAATATTTATCTATGGATTAAAACTAAACATAAAAGAGTCAACCATAACATCTTTTACAACTATGTATTTTCTAGAAATTTGACTGAATATGATTATTTCCTACCAAATATATGAAACACTAAATGTAACGCGACAAACACAATAATACATTTGTTTACTGGGAATTTCAGAATTTTACTGGATTGCAACTAAACTATCTTGAGCGGATGACTATCAACGTCAGAGTAAAACAGAAATTGGACATTTAGCCAACTGAACGAAATTAATATCGTATAATTCTTTCTACAAGACAACAGTCTGAATAAATAAATTCACATGTTTCTCATATTTACTAGAGTTCTATAGTTTATTTGCCGCGTAGAGGCATCAAATATTTTTACACGGTGATTCAAAACAAATTTGGGTGATCGAGATTCCGACCTATTAAGTACTGGTTCATGATATCATCTTTAGTAATCTGTTAAACCCCTTTTATATGTTTATTCCGCTTATATTCGTGTTGAATTCCTTTTAAAAATGTACTATCATTATTTGGTTTTTTCATAGGTACAAGGGAATCTGCTTATGTTTTGGCTGTCACATCGGCCGGTGTATCACATGCAGTCACTAAAGCATGTAGTAGTGGTTTACATGATAATTGTGGATGCGACAGGACAATATATGATCATCCTAGAGAACCGAATTTTGAATGGTCCGGCTGTTCAGACAATATATATTTCGGAGCAGAATTTTCAAGACAATTTCTTGACGTGCGTGAACGCAACAGGTTAAAGCGTAATGCGAAATTAGGCCTAACCAATTTACATAATAATTATGTAGGAAGACATGTAAGTTTATATTTATAATTGTCATGTACAGTTCAAAATATTTAGTGTTCACTTGACCATTAACAGTTTTCATTCCTACTCCGCAAAAACGACTATATTCGATCGAATAAGCAAACAACAGAAAACCATAATCTACTTTACTTAGCTTTGGTAAAGTATTCAAAAGTATGATATTTTATCGGCATTTTAAGGTCGCACGATTAGTAACTTTATCTCAGTAATAAATGGCTCGAGAAACTATCGATTTTAATGCAACTATGGTAAGCATATCCACCTTAAGAACTATGTATCTACCAATATAGACACTTTTTCACGTTATTGTCTACATAAAAGTCAGATATCGGATTCTGATGATAGTAACTCGCACTGTCGTCAATGAGGAATTATTTAACCTATCTACGTACCAGGATAATTAAAGTTATCCTATGAAATGTACATTATTTTCGTGTTTATTTCAATCTAGTAGAAACAGGTGGACTAAATTTAATATGTGAATTATTATTTGCATTACTATTATTTAGGGATATCAAATAAAATCTGAAAGGTATTTATTGCCTTCTTTAAGTCAAACATGTATATGTTAAAATTCAATTCATAATAACACTCATTTTGCTAAAATTTAAAAGTCGTTAGTCACAAATCTGATTTCATAGTGAAAATTTTAATGGTAAACACATATAAAAATCATATCCCAATCAAACTTGTATCATTGAAGTATGAGACTTAAGTTAAGAGTAAGTCTCATACTTCCAACGTATTAGAGACCACAGTTCTGGCAGTTGGTGAACTACTAATAATAAATATCTGAGTAGTGTGTATCAAATTCAAGAGACATCCTTCTTAAAAACAAATGAAAGAAATATATCTCTTTTCAGTTCTAAATGCTAATAATGTTTAAGTATTTTCAATCCACTGGTTCTGACCAGCCAGAATACGTATGAAGGAAACTTGAATGAAACGACAATATACATCGATTCACAAAGAAATATGTGAAGTTAATTTAACAAGACAACTTCTCACAAGGGTTTCTAGATAATTGTGTGGTGTGAGGATAACTTTAATAAAGTTTCTACTAAGGATTTCCTTTCTGGAGATTTGAAGACATTTGTCATTGGAGTGTCACTGTTATTTCACATTCAAGTCCAGATTTATGTAAAATACATTACGATCTAGAGAATGATTTTTATGATTTATTTCTCACATTTATATTTACTAATTTCCTTAAATAAATCACACGAGTTCTATATATCATCGATCATTATGGTGTTAATGTGTGTTCCGTCTACCAGCTTCAATTAACGTGCATACTATAAGTTATTATCAAAATGTCTACTACTTAGGTAGTTTTTTATAGCTAAATAGGTTTCATGATAAATGATATCTAGTTAGTTCAATTTCTATCTTTCATAAATACCAAATCAACCTAGGTATAGATACTTTATTGAATTCTCATCACGGACTGACGTTATCTGGATTATTATTAAACCCCAAGAAAAACTGAAGATGCTTTTTAAGAATCATCGGCAGGTTCTTGATTTTTTTGGAGTTATGAGTACATATTTCTGAGGAGTCTTATGATGTGATGAAAGTGCTGTTATGTGCTTTTTGGTACTCTCTTGTTTTCTCAGCAAATTCGCCTACAAGATTATCTACTTCAACTTGTTAATTTTCTCATTTCTAGTTTATTATTATATTCTTACACGACTAAATTATAAATTCCCTTGTTGATGAAGAATGTATAAAGCGTAAAACTAGCATTAAATAGGGAAAAAAAAGTAACATGATGATTACTTTTAATTCTAACACACTACGAAGATTTTGTCCACCTTTTCTGTATGCTATGACATTTCATGAAGTGTTTGATTTTCTCATCATGATAACTTTCTATTCATACCAGACTATTATTACCAATATCGCATGTAATAATGTTCATGCCACTACTAATATAGTTACATTTTTCTTACGTTATTATTGATAATGATGGCAACATTATTTCACTTGACCATGATCCTAGTTAACATTCTATTCCCCCTGAAACTGTTACAAGTATCAAGCTGTTTATTGTACACCAGTTTTTTTACTCTCTTAAGCTATTCCTATATAATTTTGTTTTCACTTCCTTCCTTTCTTTTATTTTGTTTCTCTCTTCATAAACTTGATATTAATTTTTCTTAACCTACAAATAATTTATTCATTGGAAAAGAACTCTTTTAGAAATTTAATTTCTCGCTCTCCCTTCCATGAAATATTCAACAACTTTTCTCTATTTCCACTTTTTTACGTTGTCTACTAAATCTTGCATCTTATCTAAGTAACTTCACTATCATTAACTATCAAATAAATCATGTTACTTTTAACGCTACATATATATTACTTAGATTTGTATACAGTCAGTTGACTTTTACTAGAAATTGGTTCTAATGTTCATACTATTAATAATCATAGTAATATTATGTATGATAATTGTTTGTTTGTTATTATTATCTTCAGCTACTATCAATGGGAATAAAATGAATAAACTAGGTGATTTGATTAATGATCATTGAAAATGAACATGTACAATAAATAACCCATTGTATGTTATAACTAATGTAGGGGGTTGGGCTAAGATAATATGTATGGGTAACTGACAAAGATTATGCCAAGTCTAATAGTTAAGTGATATTCTAGCGATATATATATTACACAGAAAGGGATGATCATCATAATGGCTACATTCGAAAATGATGATAAATGTGGGAAATCATTTTTAATCTAGGGGTTAACTAATCATATCGATAGATTTAATATAACCATATGCGGATTTTAATACAACACAATACACATCTAAATTCTATTTGCATGCATATTATATAGTTGGTTTGGTAATCATCTTTGATGCGAAATAAATATTTTTTTACAAATGTAATAAAACTACGCCAGATTCAAGGTTTTTTGACACTTGTTGGTGAATTTCTACCAAAATAGGTGTCAAAAGTGTTCTTTCTCGTTAATTTTTTCCCACTATTTATCCTCTCACAATAAAATTCGTTTAATGAAATGTGTGTGTATATTGCTTTGCTCCTTTATAACACAATTGAACACTCACTATTCTGTCTTACACACAGATAAACACGTAAAATAATATAAAAATTAAACACCACCTAGGAAACTTTCAACATGAATGCTATTGAACTGATTTATTTTTCTGACTTGCTAATAATAAGATGGATGCATAGTTGGAATGAATTTCACTGCCTGACATTTTGACTTCGATATATTGTATAAAATACGTAAGCAACAAAAGAAGCTTCATATTAAATAGATACAATTTATGGAATAAAGTATTTATACTGTTTTTCTTGAGGGGAGGGGACATCATATAATAATTTTTATGGGGATTATACAAACCATTTGAATACAAGTAATATTTCACTTATCTTCAAGACTGATTAATAGCTTAATGGATGGTTATTTTTAGCTTACTGATAAATGTTAGGGGGGGAATACTTTCGTTTTGCTTAAAAACAGAAATTACAGACCTATCGTGTAAGCAATAAGATGATAGAAAAGTCAGTTATTTTCATCAAAATCAGTCTATAAACAAAGTTTCAAAACACTCCCCGAACTACTCCGTATTATTATGATAAATGGTTAATGAAGTAATTAAAGACCCGAAAACAAATAGGCCAATTATAATAGGCGAAAATGATAATTAACAAATAAAATATTTGATTTTATTGAATTACCCTGTGCAAGAATTTAATTTCAATAAGTATTGTGCTTATAGCTAAAGGTTTGGTAGGATGTCAAAAAAAACATTACGAAAAATTTATCCAGCACTCAACATAGTTTTTATCATAGTACTTCCTTAACTGATCTCAGTTCATGACGATATCAATTTTCAAACTAAACCAATCTTATGGAATCATCGCATTTTATTATATTACGCTTTCCAGTAGAGATGGAAAATGCTGAGAAAAACGATTACATTTATGAAACCACATTTACGTTAGTAATAATAGTTTGTAGACGAAAAAAATTATCCTGAATTACTTAAGTAACAGTAGTAGTTTGAAGACTGATCTGATAATATTCTGTAAAAACTGGAAGTAAAGAAGCACAGTATCCAATATTAACGAATAACGGCTTCTTTCAAATTTTCCATCGATAATAATGAATTAAAATTGTTAGGACAAGGTAAAACGCAAGTTCACGCATCAGTTCAGTAAAATATTTACCCAGAATATAATTCATTTTATTTTTAATTCAATGTAATATTTATATAGTATTCATTTATTATAACAATTTTCGTATCGATTTCGTATGATATTCGCTCAGTGTAGCATTCACCATTCGTTGTATGAAATCTGTTGTGATATTTGCTTGGTATAACATTCGGTTGCATAATTCTAATGTAAAATCAAGCCGTATTCCTATTACTTCACTTAGGTATAGTATTCGATAACTAGTGATCAAATCCCGTGGAAATTTGTACGTCTATGAGTGTGCTCAGCTAATAAGTTGTTGTCATAATTTTGGTTGAGAATGAAGCCTTCAAATGACATCAGTTTTTGTCCTTTCACATGTATCATTCAACTCTCAGTTCCCCTCGTGTTCAAAGTCCTATTTTGCACAGTTGTAAAAATTACTTGGTCATTCAGTTATTCACTAAACATTATTAATTTTATACAACTATGTAGAACAAGATATACGAACAGTTAAAGACATTATTACTTCAATAGATAAACATTAATTTTTCTTAAGTGTAATTTCATTTACAATATTTTTCTTTTATTAATTTTTAATAAGATGGTTATCAATAAAATGGAAGTTCAATGTAAATGTCACGGTGTAAGTGGATCATGTGAGATGCGTACATGCTGGAGATCGTTACCGAAATTTCGAAATTTAGGTGCACAACTACAAGAAAGATTTCATGAAGCTATACAGGTTACTTATATGCAAAACCGTTTGGTTCCAATGAAAGCTTTAGAACAGTTAAATAAAGAATCAAATGGAAACGCACTTTTACTTTCGCACCCCGCTTTGTTATCATCTACTGGAGCAACGATGTCATCACGAGTTAGTCGGAATACCTTAGATTCATTAACTAGTTCAACATCACTATCTCCATCATCTTTACCATCACCAACAGAAAATGATTTAATTTATATAAGTGAATCACCAACATTTTGTCATCATGACCCGCGGTACGGCAGTATCGGTACATATGGACGTCAATGCGACGAAAATTCCCAAGGTTTAAATAGTTGTCATTATTTATGCTGTGGTCGAGGATTTAAACGGCAAACATTTGTTCAACAGGAAAGATGTGATTGTAAATTTCAATGGTGTTGTAAAGTTGTCTGTAAGACATGCCGTAAAACAGTGGTCATATCCACATGTAATTAATAACTATGCAAATGCGTATAAAAATGCATTATTTTACAGTTTACAATCATTTTATGTGTTTGTTTTCACTTTCGTGCACTAAATTCCCTACCTCTATGATTCGCTTCACATCTATTCCAAAAATGCTTTTCTCCCACTCTTGTGTTACAAAAATATCTGTATTGAAATCGGAACTATTGCTGACAGCGACAAAATAACAATGACAATCATCATGATACTATTAAAATGCCTAAATCCGACAGGAGAGATTACAATAAGTTATGACACGTTGAAAAGAAAGAAAAAACTCATCAAGTTGCTGATATTTTGCTCCATGAAAGAAATTAGAAGACTATCATGAATAATCAGAAATAAATTTTTTAATGAGTTTAGTATGGGTAGTAGTACGAAAAACTGAAAAGACCAGATAAACAAAATGAATATACATAATTTACTGTGTTTCTTTTCAAATCATTCACTTGTTTTCCGTTTTTGTTGTAAATGTTTATTTTCCTAATATACTACCTATAACATGTGTATATTCTATTTATAGTCACTCATTCACCAAATCAATCAGTTAATCATAACTCAATAATTCATAATCTTTATATTGGTAAAACAAAACATAAAATGAATACCATGAATGATAATTATACAAACTCATTTGTTGTATTTTATTATATACATACATATTCATTTTTGATCTGTTCATTATATACATGTAAACATTCAGCTATTCATGAGCGGAAAATACATAGTGAAAGATGAGGTTTTAAAGTTGATCTTTATCCAAACACTTTCATGTGGTTAATTGATATTCTCGACAGCATGAAAGTGTCCGACTTAGTGAGAAAGTACTGATTTTTGGAATTATTAACATTTTAAAAAATACTACTTGTGAGTAGCCCAAATAATTAATCTAAATCATTTGACTTATGAAAGTTTGATAATCGCTAAATAAGGTACCTAAAGAGAATTTAGTTTTAATCACTGACTGATAACATTTGTATAAGCATCAAAAAATCCTGGGACCAGATTTACATAGAACCTTGCTATTCGGTAGTCACGATGTAAAATAATGTAGCCGTCTATTTTAACGATTTAATACTATGGAATGTTTTATTCACAATGAACAGAAAAAAAATCTGTTTCGCTATGATAAAACGCAACATACATTCAGTTATTCTTCGAATGTAGATTGACGCATCTCATAACTATTAATATTATGGTACACAGAACGTTTTCATTTATAGTTTTTAAGTATAATATTGGATGAAGATTCATACCTACCAGAACATTCTGCACCCTTGAAACCAATATCACGAATACACTGTTAAGTGAATTGAATCAATAAGAAACCATTTAATTCTCACTCAATAGGGAAATAGCTATCTTTGTGTGACACTTAGTTATTAAACCAAAAAGTGTGTAGCATACTCGCGACTGATCAGTTTCAAACTTGGACAAAACAGTATTATAATTGCCAATGTCTCTCCAGTTGACATCAGTTCATGAAAATCACTTATAAACGATATAAACTTTATTCACATATCCACCTCGGTAACCAATTATAATTATAGTTCAGTTATTATTAACATTTCATATATGCATATTACCAATCATGAAATAAAATCGAAGAAATTTCTAAGGACTGAAAAGGTAATTAAGTGGAAGGTCAGGGCTAATTAGCGGGCTGTATTTTAAATAAATAAATGGAAAGAATTGATAAATTATGAAATAAATAACGGGTATTTAAAAGACCCCTGTTAAATGATAATGCGTACTAAAGCATGGTACAATTTTGTCTCGCTCTTTTTCTTAAATACATTTATATTTTATAGTTGAATTCATGAGTCAATTGAAGCTAGACCACCATGGTGGTCTCCTTTCAATCTGTGAAGTGACTAACGAACATTCATGCAAAAACCTTAGTTGCCTATAGCAGAATGATTTAAAATCCTACAATTTTTGTAAGTGCGAAGTATTATCTAAAATGAGTCAAAGTGGGGGGTTCATGATGCAAGTATTGGAAGTGTTATTCTCAAAATCTAAATGAATAGTGTCCGCTTTATATGTGGAAATATCAGTGACATAGGAAACTCGTTGAGTGAAAATATAAGATGATTCATATCCAGGAGGTATTATAATGAGTTTGAGGGTAAAGTCGAATGTTAACTATGTTGCTCTTATGTAAACGACCACCATTCATGAAATATCTGAAGAAAATAGTCTTACTTCAGTTTATCGATGATTGGAGAAACTGGTCTTTCAGTAAGAAAAAATGACCACCTTAACACAACATACAGTTTATTTAGACTTAATGCATCGATCAAAATGTTTGGGAAGTACGGTGCACAGCATAAAGATTTGACTTCGCAGTACGAGTGGAATATGTTCTTATATACAATCTAACTACCTTGTAGACTCTTAAGTAATATATATTTTTAGTTTTAAAATCTTCATATGGTATTCAAAAACAAAGAATATTTTAAGGAACAACCGAGTTCAACTTCATTTTCAGGCTTCATAGTTTTAAATAGACAGGTGTTTTGCAAAAGTAGACAGTATACCAGATAAAAAAACATGAAAATTATGATTGAATTAGTCAATAGCATCGATTTTATCTGAAATACGGAGTCAACATAAAGAAAAATGGTTATATCTGAAGACGTAAAAAAATTATTCTTCAGGTTGATAGTTTCCAATCAAATAAGGGAGATGTGTCGAGGTATTACCTGTGGTAGTAATAATAAGATATCAAATGAACTTCGAAGACTGACTTTCATCAAGAATTGACCTAAGCTGGGGAACAGTGTCATTTCGCCAACCAATTGAATGCTTGTTTTAAAATAGGATACTCTAATACATGAAGACGATATTATTGAGAAAATTCTGCGGAATATTTGGGACAATCCCTCTGTTTTTATACTAAAAACTCTACTTTTGACGCGCTACACTGCTAGTTTCCTGTAATCACATAGACATGTAGAACATTCCTATAAAAAGAGTTACAAGAAACTTTTTGTTTCGTAAGAGTTTATCCCGAAAATCCAGCAAGGAATGCATTGTTTTATATCTACTACAAGAATTTGGCAATATAAAAAAATCGCTGCAACATCAGGTAAGATTTCAGAACTATCGCAATATTTAGCATTATATGCTTGTTCACTCAGGTGAAGAGAAATATGTACACATTTTTCGACCTGATTGGCTTTGGGATAGTTATGTTCTAAACTTACCAAATATTATTATTTACATAGTCCGTATAAAACGGAGTTAACCAATTTTGGGACATAATGAAGTAAACCAAGAGTACCATCCTCGGTAAATAAGTTTGATTTTTTTAACCAATAATCTTACTAGGCAACAATTGCGTCTTCAAAACATAACTTGTCACTTCTACAGCTTTTAAAAGTTACAAATGTAACTCGTTTACAAAGTACGGATTTATGCGCTTAGCTTTGAGCCGTATCTTTTATTTGACTCGAACTAAATCCCCAATCTTTTACAAATGTATACTTTCTAAGAGAGTTTCTGATAAAATTCAGACTTACTACTGAACTTGTATCACTTTAGTGTGGTAGTACAATACATTTGTGTACTGATTGTAGCTGCAAAAAGTAGAATCATACTTATATCATTGCACTTAGATACACAAGATTTATGGTCCCCAAATATTGGATTAAGGACAACAAACATAAGGTCTAGATCTTAAATTCGCAACACATTTATGAAAGAAATTAATGAAAAGGAGTTTTTCAAAGTTTATTATTATTTTTTGTCGATATTGTTGTATCCCGTGGAGAATTATGAATGGTAACTTTGAGAACTATTTATGGACGAATATATGTATATTTCCTATTGTATAATTGCTAAGTAACTTAACTATTCATATTCGTATCCCTCTTATTATAAGCTTTATTTTGACCCACAGACTATTATTATACATTTTACCACTCTTGAGTTATCCCTAGTCCATTAATTACTGTCCCCCTTATTCACAGCCACATTTGGCTAAATACTGTACAAATGTTATTTTTTATTTTATGGTACGATGTGGTCTGTTTGATTGGTATATAAACCCAGTATGTTTGTGAATAACGATTCATATTGCAGAGGCTGTTATTGGTGTTCTGGACTTAACTGGTTGGGCTAGGCAGAAATCAGGACTGACAAGTATTCAAGACTGCTCATACGATTTTGCATATCATTGGGCGATCAATAAATTCACTGCCCTCTGATAGGCGGTCTTGTAACTTCATATATTAACTGGGCACTCAAGCAATCAATATAACAACTGGCGACGGGGTAAAAAAATCGAATCAAAGTCAGCCTGCGACTGGTCGAAAATCAGGCAATTATTCTGTGCAATCAGCATCCAAAATTGTCGTTGCTGTCCTTGAACGACATTGGTCATTAGGTAAGAAAATGGCTCTAACTTCCGATCAATTACAATTGCTATTCCAGAGACAAGAGCAGCGTTTTAAAAAGAGTCAGTTGGGATTCATTGACAAATTACACGCAAAGCTGCTGAATCATACATGCTGTGTGGGTGCGACGAAAGTTGATGCATTAATTTCTAAATTGCGCACAGAGCTGGAAATTGATTGCAGAATGAATGAATATGCCGATGAAGGCCTAAATTAATCCGTGACAAATAGTAATTTCAACAAAGAAGTAGCAGTCACACATCAGCCCAGTAGTCCAATACTGTCTGTTTCAGAGACATGCCCTACACTTGGTTCAAATCCTATAACCCCCGAAACAGAACATGCAAACAATGAATTGTCCAGTTCACAGAAATAAAAAATCTTGTTAAACGCCCATGAAATTGCTGCGGCAACCGCCCATGTAGAAACAGAAAAATTGAGTAGTACACTAAATGAAGCCGCACCGATTGGAGCTCATCATTCTACAACAGAAATTTCTGGCGAATCTCAGTCAGTCACAATTAAGGGACGAGTATACTGCGTAGCAGTTCGTTCGGTTCTACTTTACGGTTGTGAAACATGGCCATTAAGAGTAGAAGATACTCGTAAGTTACTAGTATTTGACCACAGATGCCTTAGAAATATTGCTCGCATCTGCTGGGATCATCGGGTAAGTAATAGTGAAGTTAGACAAAGAGTATTAGGGAATGACGGTAAATCAGTTGATGAGGTCATGAATCTTCATCGACTGTAATAATTAGGCCACGTGTTACGTATGCCTGAACACTCATTACCACGACGCGCAATGCTGACTAGTGTAGAGGATGGTTGGAAAAGAGTTAGGGGCGGTCGAACCAAAACGTGGCATCAGTGCTTGAAGTCACTAACTCCTAGTCTGAGATATGTTGGTAGATGCAGACTACATGGTTGGGGTCCGCGTGACTATCGTAACCAATGGTTGGAGACTCTAGTTCACATGGCTCAGAATCGATCACAATGGCGTAGGTGTATACACACTTTATCTTCCCTTAAGATTAAAATTGCTTCATAACGTTCTTCCTTCCTATACTATATCCTTATATACAACATTTCTTTATATACTACCACCACTAAATTAATTACTTCTATGAATCCGATGTTCATCTTGTTGTGCTAACGAGATATGGCAACTTGGACCGTTGCATATGTGTGTCTGGTCCTACATTGTAGCTGATTGACTGAGTCAGTCACAACATAGAACTTCGTACGTACGTACATCAGCTCGAGTTGCCATACCACATTAGCACTGAGATACAATTGTCGATTCAAATCCCATAATGGTAGAGGTAGTAAAAGTATAAGTAGTAATCGGAATGGTTAGGGTTTGAAGATGTTATTCAAGGAGTATAGTCTATTGAAACAGATTTTGAAAGAGACAGGGACATGAAAAATTCAGAACACCAGAGTTTGGGAGAACACAAAGAGTGGATGCACCTGTGCCATTGCAAAGGATTTTGAGCCATGTCATTCAAGGTCTCTAACCATTGATTGCTATCATCTCGCGAATCCCAACTAGGTAGTCCACACCTACAAACATGACTCAGTTCACTTGTCAGTGACTTCATGCTGTTTCGGTCTGGCCGCCACTAGCTTTCTTCCAACCTACTCCTACACCATAAAACATCGCACGTCGGGGCAGTCGGTGGTTGGGCATACGTAACACGTATCCCACCCATCTCAATTGATGAAGTTTCACTACTTCAATCGATTTGCCATACTTACCTAGTACTCGTTTCCTAACACAACCGCATCACTTACTCGGTGGTCCCAGGATATACGAGCAATGCTTCGAAGATACCTATGATCGAATACTAGTAACCTACGAATATCTTCTACTCTTACCGGCCATGTTTCACTGCCATAAAGTAGGAAGGAACGAACTGTTGTGCAGTAAACCCGTCCTTTGGTTGGTAGACGGATATCTCTCCTACTCCATAAATTATGCAATTTGGCAAAAGCTAGATTCGTCTTCTATATCCGTGCTGAGATTTCGTCACACACCAGACCATAAGGGCTGACAAGACTCCCAAGATAAGTGAAGCGGTCGACACGCTCAACTACTTCACTCCCTATCATTAGTTCAGGTTTCGATGAAACCCAATCCTGAAGTAACATCTGGCATTTCGAGGAAGAGAATCGCAACCCGAACATGCCTGCATTGCTGCTTATAGTGGTCAGAAGACTCTGCATTTTGTCAGCGTCTTCACCAAATAAAACTATGTGGTCGGCGTATTCTAGGTCAACAAGTGAGCCTCCCAGTAAAAGTTCAACTCCTGGAAATTTAGATGATGAAAGTGTTATCTCTAAAAGCATGTCAACGACAAAGTTAGACAAGAATGGGGAGAGTGGACAGCCCTGACGTACAGGGCTGGGGAATCTAATTGTTCAGATTCTCATGTTTTACCAGAAAATATGTCGTATGCATCAAATGATAGTCTAGAATCTAATACAGTTTGAAGTGGTACCAAATACCTGTAACTTTTTTTACTGTTTTTTAGGTCTCGAAAGTCGAAAATCAGCATAATCTTCCTTTGAAAAAGCATCTTTTGAGTAAATATGTCATTCGAACACGATTTCCTTACCAATGATGTTACCACTGGTAAAGGTATCGAGAAAGAATTACTGATATAGCATTACAGCCTCAAATAAAAAAGTATACATGAATCAAACTATCGCTTGCACACCTCCCATACACAGAGTGATACTGGTAGTGTTATACGCTCTTAATTTTAAATATCAACCAAACGATGCGCAACTGAATAACTATTTTTATGACTCAAATGTGAATTAATAAACGAAACATGAGTTTTGAATATGCAAACACAGCTCTAATGATATATTTTTTTTGACTGAAAGGTACTGCAATCTACCACATATCTGGAACGAAAAGAAATCATCCAGTGCTTCCAGGTTTTCCATGGTGATCTAGCTTCAATTGACTCCTGATGTCAACTATAAAATTACTAAAATCTCCACAAAACCCTCTTCTGAAATATTAAATTATTTCCATTGTTATGAATATTAGATTATTATTGTACTAACTTGAACAAAACACTGGTATAGTCACTTCTTATAATTACAGAAATTTTATTACTTGCTACTTATTATGAATGAACAAAGACTGATATGACTCGAAGCAAAGAAGAAAGGGAGACTGCAGATAAGAATTTATTATAAACTACGAAAAAAACAACATTAAAAGCTATATATAAATACACTAAGTTATGTATGATTTACTTATCTGATTAATAGAGAAATTTGAATACACTAAACTGAGCGGTAGTTAACACATAAAGATGTCATAATCAATTTTTAAAAAAAAATCACTTTATCACTTAAGAAACATACTTTTAACACGTTTTTTGATTTCCACGAAAAGAAAAGAAGCTAAGAATTTATCCAAGTTAAAAGACATTATATCATTATTGTTTAGTAATTTTATCAGTTTTGATACAACAATTTTTAATCTAGCAATTTGTACATTGTAATCAGCTGATTCTAATTTAGCCACTAAACTGTACAAATTGACGTTGTCTAAAGAGTGAAGTAAAAAGAAAACAAAACACTCATTATTACTATTGTTTACAACATGAACTATAAAAAATGAAATGACAGTGTAACTAGAGTGTATCAAAGATCAACATAAGTATTCTTGACGACACAAGTCTTTCTTTTATCGTTACATTCAAACATTTGACACAATGATCAAGGAATTATAGTGGATACACTTCTAGGTCGGTTACTATTTACCATAAACATACGTGAATTCTTTATGATTGCTTTGTACTTCATATACTTAACTGTACATGTTACTGGTTAATCCCTCATCCATATAGATGTTTAAGCTTACCAATACAGCGTAGTGAGTTTATAAACTATTGGCGACAGGATATTAAGAAAATAACAAATTATGTAGCACCTAAATGTTCAAATGATGGTTAGAATAAATATCAGAGAGATTACTTCAAATGTGTTATTTATAAAGTCGGCACTCAAATACCGGGAAACTATTTTCTAAAATCCAGACGAAGGTTCTTGTATGTTATTCATAAATCTTGAATAAGATGGTACAAACTAACTAACTAACGTTAATTAGGAACGATCATAGTTTTGAGGCGAAAAAAAAACCATACAATCAAAATATTTAGTATTTGTAAGGCCGAAAGGACAGAAAATAATAGAGACCGTTTTATGATGAAATTAGTGTTGTAATAACTGATTGCTTTTAATACAGTTGACTGGTTAGTTTACAACATTACCGCAGATAATTACGTTTTTGGCCAAGCCAATGCCTGCTAACCCTCGTGGAGCAGCATAGGCCGCCAATCAGCATTCTCCATCCAACCCTATCCTAGGCGACCCTTTACAGTTGTTATTCATCCTTTTTATGTCTGCTTCTATTTCCCGACGTAGTGTGTTCTTTGGCCTTCCTCTTTTCCCCTTCCCTCCAGGATTCCAAGTTAGGGCTTGCTTTGTGATGCAGTTTGGTGATTTCCTTAATTCTTGCCCAATCCACTTCCAACGTCTTTTCCTAATTTCCTCTTCAGCTAGAAGCTGGTTTGTCCTCTCCCATAAAAGGCTGTTGCTGATGGTATCCGGCCAGTGAATGTTGAGTAGTTTCTTCTTTCTGTAGATCTTGTAAGGCTTGTAACCTGTTGTTGAGAGTTATATTGAATTCTTTGAGTTTGTTAGTATCTTGAAGGAAGGCCGTATTGAACCTTTGTAATGCTGTTGCACCAGTTGTACAGTGTTTCTTTAGCTTCAGTTTTATCTTGGCCACAACCAGGTGGTGATCTGAAGCTATGTTAGCTCCTCTCCTGCTTCCCACATCTTCCATTGTTCTTTGGAATTTTTTGTTGATACAAATATGATCAATCTGGTTCTCTGTGGTGTGCTCCATTGAGATCCATGTAGCTTTATGTATGTGTTTGTGGGGGAATATTGTGCCGCCTATAACGAATTTGTTAAATGCACATAAATTTGCAAATCTCTCCCCATTTTCATTTCTCTCTCCTAGTTCATGTCGTCCATTTATATCTTTATATCCGGCGTTGTCCACTCCGACTTCGGCGTTTAGATCTCCCATCAGGATTGTGAGGTCCTTTCTTGAGCATTTCGCTATGATTGATTACAGCCTCGAGTAGAACTGATTTTTATCGTCGTCTTTGGAAATTATACTAGAGACTAAATAAACAAAACGACCAATATACATTTACTTTGATTACATAACAGATGACTTGCAAATTTGTAGGTACACAATTTCAATAACGAATCTTACTTGGTTTAATATGACAAGCTTGAAAAATAGTCAAGAGATGAGGTTGCAATTCAAAAATTTCGTTTGCCAACGAATTTTCATTCTGTAAAACAAGATCGAATTATAATCAGTATGGTAAACGTTTGTACGTTCGTGAAAAATTGATCAAAATAAGTTGATGATGAATATGACAGAAACATTCTAAGGTCCATAATTTATGCATCCATTTATTCTATACATATGCTGAGTTAAATTTTCATAAAATCAATCAATTCTCTTAACAAATCATACACTATAGGCACACCTTTCATTCCTCAAATAATAGGGCAAACAAGATAATTATCTTAGGAATGAGGTCAGTCTAAAATGGATTATGACTCTCCATCAAGTAGGTTAAATAATGAATAATTTGTACGCTTACACATTATTTCCATTACTCATAAATCATACACCTGAAAACTTACTGGAATGTCAGGGTGCATCACACAGTTTCCTGTGAACATAGAATTGTAAGCAACTTGGTCCGTATGATCAAGAGATAAGTTGACCAAAAAGGAACGTAGACAACGCCAAGAAAGCTTTAATTGTGTTACGGAAGCCATTATATCACACCAATCAGTAAGCGAGATGATACCTATTTGAAGTCAGATTTAGGGAGTTTATGTATTAGACAAGGGATGAACAGTATTGGTTACAAACTAGATTACGTAAAAATAACCCTTCGTTCACTTTACCTATCTCCATGTACTTATAAGTGAACCAAGGCAATTATAGGGGTGCTGTGAATAGAACCTGTAAAATCAATTCGAAATAAACGGATAAAAATAGGACGAATTTAAAACCAAACTGATTACTAGCAAGTTTACTATCCCTGACCCGGAAACACGGTAACGAATATTAAAAGTTACCAAATTCATTATCGGCCATTGTCGTGACTTGATTTATCCACAGACATTATTCAACTTTACTCAAATCAACAAGCATAGGAAAGTTGAATGGCTCTCCCCCAAAAAATCAATAAGTGACGTCTATATAGAAAACACTGGTGTGCACAGATACAAATTCATCCCAAGTATGTAGAAGTATACTTACTGAGCCAAACTTGTTTGGTAAAAGGATTTACGAATATCAGGCTTTAGAAATGATATAAATAGATTTTGTTTCTCCGTATAAAATAAATATGACATCGTTTTCATTCAATAAAAAGAATATGTTCTCGCTCAACAGTTACCTTGGTGATAAGTAATATCTAATTATTATCCTTAGTTTGAACTAAACACATTTCTTTTAAGCTTGAGCATATTTTACTCGCTAAATAATTAAATGTTATAAAGGTCAAACGAGAAGTCATTTATTGCATCGAATATCCTTTAAAATATCTACAAAGGGAAGAAAAAATGACAAAATTACATGGTGACTGCTTTACTCGTCCTATTTTCCTTTGCAAATACAATATAAGGGCATTAACCATTTACTATATTTTCCAAAAAGCAGTAACAAACTTATAACCTGGTAGTCATAACAACTATAGTTCGTGTATAATAGTGTTTGGTAAGTAATTCAGCTAAATAATACATTTTTAAACGAGTTCATTTCTGAAGCTAGATAACGATACATACACAATGAACTATCAGTAATAAAATCGACTGATTTGTGTACATGAGAATATTAATAGGCTATAACTGTAGAACTGGTTAAACATCTTTATTAGTCAAACAACCAATTAAAGAGATATAAAAAAAAACCTAGTGAAATAATATTTAGTTGCTAAGTGGTCGAGCTTACTAACTGTAAATAAATAATAATCAAACTCAGTAACTGAGTAGTTTAATATACCCAACTGTAAACCAGAATTTCTTATGTGAGGTCTAGCTGAACCAATCAGGACCATGTCAAAGCAGGAGGAGCGGAGTATGAATCCAAAATTCAATAACGTAAATAATTAAAATAGAAATAATGTTGTGTGAATAAAAACGAAGAACCACATATGGACAGATTTGGCAGAATTTAAATAATGTATGAATTAAAAGAATAAGATCATGTCTCCTTTTACTTTAACAACAAAAAGTAAAAACATTTACATTAACCTGAGTTATGAATGTCCAGTTGACTGAAACATTCCAGGAGTTTTTCTTTATGACGAATTATCCGTTGCCATAAACACACAAATGCCATATTAACAGGATCGTTTAATCTGAAGTTATTATTATAAAATTTATTGAAGAAAATAGAATAAAGTTGATATTTTCACGAAAGAAAACTGTTAGGGATTAGTTATTACAACAATTTTTACTACCTACTTAGTGTAGTCAACATTTAGAATACCGAAAACTATTTGAAATGTAATATAAAAGCTATCAGTAAAAAAAACAGTTGTATCATAAAGACAAGCTTTATTCAAATCTCAATAGAAAACATCAACAATTAAAATGAGTGAAAAAAAAACAAAATAAAATTGTTCTACTGACTTGTCACCATTTAATGTTAATAGCTTTAAAATTATCACTTACCTAATGTGTAAATTTTAAAAAATCCATGAAATGTAAACTTAGTTTAAATAACTATACACTAATAAAGACTCTAATATGATCTAGAAATAAGCAGTCATTGCTAACGGCGACATTCGTTACAACTTATCCTAAGATCATAAAAAAACAATTTTCATTTTATTTTATCTATGTAAGAATATACAATCTATAGGAGATTAGATCTGACGATGATCGTCAGTAACCTACAAAAGTTGCATCAGTAAATTGTGCTTTTTAGATATAACAGCAATGTGAAACATTACACATATTTCGTGCAGTCAAACAACGAGATTAATGAAATGTTTTAAACAAAACAATTAAATTTTACTGGTTTTTTTGATGGATACATACGATCTGAATAATTATGCAAATAACCTTTGCATCAAAGTAAATGTAAAGGACTTTTAGATTCAGAATTAGATCTTATTTGTATAAACAAATGGGAATAAAAAGGCATTAAGTGTTTAAGAAATACTAAAATATGATAAGAAGTGGACATGTTTAAGATAAGTATCGATAATAAGTACTGGGATCTTAACTAGTTTAGACTGCAATCAAACAGAATTTGATGATAGATGTGTAGCCAAAAGTACCTTTAAGTTAGAACAAAAGGAGAATAATGCAGAACTACCAAAGAAAAGACGGAAACTTCAAAAGACTGATACATTTTTAACACTTGTTTTCAGATACAATAAGTGTGTAGGAAAAACCAGTTAGTGAACTAAGTATGGCTAGCTTAGAATATCTACATGATCCAGACTGTCTTTTCTCTGAAACAATTTGGTTAATAAGATAATTCAGACTAAACGTTCCTGTGCTTGCTAATTCATGCCCTTTATATACGTAGTTTATTTAAATCTACCTATTCTTCCTAAATTGAATAATATATATTAGGGACACGTATCTGAAAAAGAATGCCTAATCTTTCAACTGATTTTCTGTACAAAACCGCTGGATTGAATGATCACCATAATTATTTTGGTCTTTTATACAGAAACAATGAATTGCTTTTCTTCCTTTTTGGCTTTACAGTACCTTCTCAAAAACCTCAATAGATAACTATTGTGGTGTGGACAATGGTCAATCATTTTCAGCTTGGATCGAAATTCTTTGACCCAATAAACGTTCTTCGGTGGTGATCATGCATATAATGAAGTGCGCAAACAGAATAAATGGAAATATTAGTAGCTCATCGCAATTTCAGATGGATAGTTGTAAAAAAATATGACAAAAACGTTTTATTCTCGCGATCGCTCTTCTGTATCGTCAGTGAAATTAAACACCAATTACCATCATTTGAGTCTAATTAAAAAATTTATTAGATACCACTGAACATCAATAGTTGTATAAATTGATTGAAATCCTAAATAACTAAAATACAAGGAACTTACGTTCTGTTCTTATCTAATACTTGATCTTGTACTTTTATAAGAACAAATACATTCACATAGATGTTAAGCGATGGTAAAAAAGTATCTTTTGGTACATATTTTATCGGATACAGAGAAACAATAGCGTTTGGGTTGGTTACATTTATTTCATTAGACTTGCCACCAGTAACACAAGCATAGGCGCCTTCATTACTGCGTAGTGTAAAATAATCGAATGATGAAAATATAGTTAAAACTTTTCCTGAGTGGGAAATATGCCATCCTTCCATATAGCATTCATGTGATCGAATAATCATAGAAAAACTTGTTGTGTCTAAGAAACTATCAGTAATATCAGGACCGAAATAACAACCTGCACCACGGAAACCGTTGGGTCGACATCCATCTTTATCTTGAGGATCACTCCATAATAAATCTAAAACCTAATAAAACAAAATACAATAGAAGTAAAAACAAACGACTGCATGAAAACAAAAAAATCATTGAAAATGTTCACCAAAAACACTAATGTGTAATCAAAATCGTTAGAAAAACAATCACTTTTCAACTCTATTACAAAACCATACAAACATCATCCATTAATTTTTTTATGTACGAGCAGTTAAACATCCATTTGTTTCATACCTGTTGCCAATCATTAAAATTCACACGGTTATCCCCATCCAAACATGGTTGTAGAAGTGAGGAAAGCTTTGGAATAGAATTTAACAAAATAAAAAGGAAAAGAATAAGAGTAACGCAATAGTCAAACAATCAGATAAAAAAACACCCTTTAAAATTACAAGTACCGTATACACCCACAATATATTCTTCGCACTGACCATAGAACTATACTAGAGTTAACTTAAAAGGCTAATAGAATTTCCGAAATATATAGTAATTGAAAAATTTAAACATTATTCATATAATTTCATTTAGTATTGTTTGTCTGAATCTTCCCATCTATGTGTTAGGACTGCAAATAGTCAGTCTCTAATTGGCATATGTGCATACTGTGCGTATTGCCTCGATATAGCCGTAATTCACAAACATTGTAAGTAAAGATGGATAGTGGCTAGCAGTGGAATCCAGGACGCGCGTTTCGTCCTATTTGGGAACCTCACTCCATCGCATAAGCAAGTGGCTATCAGAACTCAGTGGCCGAGTGAATAACGCGATGGCGTTTGAAGCGAAAGGTACTAGGTTCGAGTCCCAGAGTGAACATCAACTCTGAGATGCAGGTACATCCAGCTGACAAGTCCCAAATAGGACGAAACGCGCGTCCTGGATTCCACTGCTAGCCGCTATCCATCTTTGCTTATTATTTATATATATTCAAAAATATAGTAAAATTTAAATTTTTTTGAAATACACTACTTTTTTATCGTTATACCTAAGTTTATAGTCTATTAGTTGAAATAAAACTGCATCCCTATCTTATTATTTAAATTTAAGTATCTTTATCGTTTTGAATAATCAATCATTTTAGTTAATAATCCTGAACAATCACATACCACTTTCACAATAAATTTATATTGTATTACAACTATGATGATATTTATCTGATCTATTCTTTGTAAATAAGATGACCGATTCCTGATTTCAAGTCGCTAATAATTAAATTATACTTGTTAATCTAACATCTACAGCTCATGTGATGTGTGTACAAAAAGGTAAACCAAAGCAAAGAAATACGCAAAATTTATCATATTTTGTGAATTTTGCTGTTCTTATTTTGTTTAAGCAAATAAAGATTTGATTTTTGTTTTAATTATTTTTTAAAAAAAAATTGATTTTAAATTCAAATAATTATGTTTTTATCTCACTTTAAATCTATTTAGAAGCTTTAATTTCACAAGATCTGTATGTTTTGATATACCACCATGGCAGATAAATATTCTTTCATTGACGATAGCTCCAATTGGTAGAGAGCAGAACAGTTTGTCACATAAGTGAATTAAATTATTTTTATCTTTCTACAAATTGAAAAGGTAGTAATAATAATAACAATAATAATAATAATTACGGGCTAAAATAATTCGAATGGATTTTTAGATCCAGATTTCAGGACAATTTTATGATAGATAACTGAAAATTCTCTTCTAAATGTAATGGTTAGTTTATCTATCATAATCTGGCTTTTAGGATTAGTATATTTATACTTTATGAAGCGAATTAAATTCATTATTCAATCAATCATTTCATTCTTCATTTTATGTAATATATTATAAATTATTATTTAACTTCCTAGCACATTATTTACCTACATTGCGCTTTAAATAATTATTGAACTTAAGGTTAATGATATCTCCATACTATAAACAGTAGGATATAAGACTAAATTCTTCCAATTGTGAATTGTTTTACAAAATTAACAGCCATAAAACATAATGTTATATATTTAAGTTCATCAGTCGTTAATGAAAATTTATTACAATGTATTACCATTAGACAATCTGTTTAGATATAATAACTTGACTGATAAGAAAATATTTACTAATGATAGATTACAGTAAAGTGTTATAGCAAATAAGATCAGCATATTGCCTTGGTACGGCCGACAGTGGGGAGAGTCCGCTCTCCCTCTTGAAATGCTCTCACATGGCCACGCGTATATAGCTTCTGCCAGGGAAGTCCTACTCACTGCCCTCTCGTGGCATTACTGTTGTTTACGAAATTGAGAGGACGAAAAGCGAATGTCCGGCGCTTTAAGCGGGTTGGTGGATGTGGAGGATCCACCTAGGGGAGTTGGGAAACCCTGATTGCAAACCAATGGTGCACATGGGCTCCATTATCCTAAGGGGACAAATGGCGTATGAATCAGTCGTTGATCAACGGCTACCATGGGACTGCACCTCCTTACGATACTCCGCTGCCTTGTGGATCATACCTTTAGGTCAAAGGCTCCGGGTATGACCCCCTAAGAAAACCACCTGCTTCAGTTTGAGCACCTGTGTAGTATCACAGCCCTCACATAAATCAAATGAGATTTGTACGGCGCATATTTATCTGGTGCTTCCTTGTACCAATATTTATGTGTTTAAATGAAAATTTTAAAAAACTGATAAGAACTGAAATTAAACGGTATACAATAAAGTAAGAGTTACAAATTCCCAAGCATCGCCTAACTCAGTGATCAATGCAAATTAGTAAAACAGACAAGAGTTAAGAGAAATCAAATCAAAACCAGTTTGTAAGTCCCCTGACCATTGTGGACAGGTACAGATGTTCTAGTTCAGTTCCATGAAACAAGCATAACATAAAGTTGGAATATCTAAATGATATGAACAAAATTAATCACAATCCTCTATACCTATTCATTTTTAAACTATTAACATTTTTAATTATTTGTCACATTTCATATATTTTGTTCATCAATCTCAATAATTCTTTTCGAAATATAATCCTTATGTTTAGCTGCCAATACTACTACTCTATCTTTTCGTTGCCCTAATGTAAGAACAAGTAGGAACTTGAGCTAATACAAAACTATGTAAAATCCTACACTGTTTTTGAATGACATCAGTAAAATTCATAATTGAATGAAAGTGTCTTCAATATTTAAAATCTTTTTCCATTTGACACTTAACTGGTTATGATGGGCGGCGTCCGAGATCTGATACTGATAAACAAGGTGCTACGCACTAACAACCCACAACTAACTACTGAAAGAGAAGACAAGAGCGAAAGAGAGAGTCTATTGGGCTATCAAATATATATATATATATATATATATATATATATATATATATACATATATATATACTCTGTAGAAAACCGAACCCATCATTTAGACAATTATATTATATATCCCTTAGGACATATTCGATTAGTACCAAGTGACTTTCTCATTTGGTTACTTTTGATTACCCCACAATATTAAAACTCTGCTAATGGTTAGACATACTTTCGAATTAGTAAAAAATTAGTACACTAAAAACTATAAACAACAAAAAGACTTCGAGATGAATCTCGTTTAAAATTTAATTAAGAATTCTAATGTTTAATGCTTGAAAAAAAACGTTTTTAAAATACAACTACAAGATATCTGGTTGAATACTGAACAGGCTACTTGAATAAAGTCGAAACTGTAAAACGAGAATACAACTTACAGAATATTTATTTGATAGTTCTTTTACAAATCCATATCTAAACAAGTTTGCAACAGAATAAAACTCATTAGGATGAACAAAAATCTTTAGTAAAGATAACCGTCAGTAAACAATAAAGTACTATTAAGATAAAATGAATCGAAGCCCTGTTTTTATAACTGTCACTGCCAATAACAAACTTCTCACGAAGTAACATGTGAAAGTTTGGAGTCATGGCTTAATGTGTTCGACTTTCTACCAATAAGTCGCAGGTCCGAGCCCCACTCCACCTACTTCCGTTTGGGAACCCGGATAGTATCACTAATCTACAGACAAAAAGTGTGGTTTAAAGCCGGGTATACAAATGCGTACTTCGTGAACTACATGAAACATGTGAAAGTTAGATACGAATAGTTAGCAAATGCAAGAAATAATAAAAATAGAACACATGATACTGAATTTTAATACTCATATACAAGTCTATATAACAGAGAGTCGAGTAATTTAAATATATAGATACAATGGAATACGACATTTTGAGTTTGACCATTAGTTATCTTATTTAGGCAAATATTTCGCAGTAAGTGAAGCTATTACTATACATTGCCATATATATATATATATAATCTTATGAGCTATAGTAACTATGAAAACATTCAGTTGACCCGTGCACGCATTTAGCTAATCATAGATACCATTCTTGTACAAAAGAGGGAGTAATCGAAATAATAATATCAATGAAAACATCGGCTTTGAGTGTTTATATGTTTGCATAATTCAACTAAAAAAAATACAGATCTAATAGAAAGTAAGTAAATGTGATGATAAAAAGGTCAAAGGTGAAATGATACATACACAATAATAATTTTTTGATAACACCACAAACATTTCGTTCACTGAAAGGAAAGAATAGCAATAAGTCTCAATAATTTGTACTACAGTTTACAAAGAAATAAGATTTTTATTCCAGAGAATAAAACAAACAAAACTTTAAACTATGTTCGCTTATAAATACCGTAGTAATTCCATAAAATGGTTCATAACAAGACACTTCAAAAACATTTTTTATAAATCAAAAGTGTGTAAACTCCATAATAACGCAACTCACTACAATTAAGTCGACCCTGTCATAAACTAACACCAGCTGGCGAAGTAATGGAAACTAATAAATGGTAGACAGCTGCTTTATCTAAGTTTTGGATTTGACAACAGCGTGTACCTACTACTATCAAACCTGGTAACTTTGGATCTCGCAACGAGTACGCCACTATTAAATCACTGACAAATTCGTAATTTTTCTCGGTTTTTATTTTCATATGCGTCAGTAATTAAGACAATTTTTAAATTGGACAAATCCCAAACCTTTAAAAATTCAATGAACTTTTGCAAATGACTTTTATTCTTACAAAAAGGCAACTACTCGTTAATCTTATAAATCATCACATGAAGAAAAATTCGAAGTTAATTACAACTACGTTTTAAAAATGCCTGGGTTACACAAATATTCTCTTTCCGTGATGAAAAGTCTGGTACACTTAAAAACTGAAATAGAAATTTGAACATCTTCAAGCAGAATATTATTTTTTTTGACGTACAGAGAATGGTATATAAGGTATTGTTAGTTTTATGATGAAAACTAACCTTTCATTCACCATGATATCTTCATGATTTCCCCGATTAAGAAATACATAGGTTGGGTAAGTTAATACAGCCATTAACAATAAACTTAACACTTCGGCTGATTTGGTTCCTCGATCGACAAAATCCCCATTGAATACAAAACGATTCCGAGAGTTTGGTAAACCAGTCTATAAATACGATAAAGTTAATATGAGTAATTTATGACACTTAGTGAACACATCCTTTAGAAATGTGAACCTATGAATTTTTTATGTTTGTCAGGTTTGACTTCGAATGGAAATTGTATCATAGATGTTAGACTAAAAAATTTCCAGCAAAATAAATCTGGTTTAACATTGAGTAGTTAGAGACAAAAAGTCCTTAGTAGTTACACATGAAAATTGATCGGTGGAGCTATATAGAGACATAACTGGAGAGAATGATTTGTTGTTATCTAATAGTTAATTAATGGTTGTTTTAACAACCCAATACTCAGTATTGGGATATGAAGATTTAAAATTTGTGTCCAGCTACTTCGAACTTGTAGACATTTGCTGCTGGTGAGTGATGACAAAACTAATACTAGATTTAAGGCATCCAATTTAACCTATTCAAACACCTAACATTCAAAGCGATTAGGACAGAAATTTAATGTACACTAATTTCATACTTACAATGTAGCGTAAATAATCCTGATTCGCTTTTATTAAAGCTTATAAGTACTTATCTTTACTGTATTAATGTTTTTTGAGTTCATCTCTATCAGGTTTATAAGAAAAACTTTAAAATCCATTTTAGAAGCATCTTAAAATATATATGATTTTTTGTGGTTAACATCACCCGTTTCTGTCATATTCTTTTTGAGACATTACGAATCAAGAGCTTACACTATAATGGGTATAGACTAAAAGAAACCATTAGTGATCGAACTGGCAACAGATACTATACTTTAACTGATACTCAACACTGAAAAAATAATGAGATAAAACTAAAATTTGTAGAAAATATTTTAATGTCACAAGATAAGGCAATCGTAAAGATAAATACTGCTGATTAAATAACTACCCATATGACTGAAGAATAAAAGCAACAAAATAGTTTGCTATCGATTATTTTTGGTGGATTAAGTAAATTGTCTAGAAAAGCTTGAACTACCATTTTGGAAATAACTCCGAGTATGTGAAGAAAGGAGGGAATTGTCCTTCTTCAATGTTTGCAGTAATTGATATCAGGAATATCAAAATATATTAAGGTATTAAAGTTCACATACTGTTTATCGCTCATTAAATAATTTATACACCTTTTTTGCCCTCTTTTGTACAATAACATTACTGTCGCAAGAAAATTGTTTAGGATAATCTATGCGACTCAATTTGGCTGTTTATTTGCAAATTAAATCTTATCGGTCATAACCCAGAGTTATACAATTGGGGTTGATGATATTGGGTAATAGTGGTATACACAAATCGTAATTTATTCTTATAAAGTATATCATCCCAAATACACTGCAGTTGTAGACTAAATAAATTTTAAAACCAATAACAACCTTTAAAGATGTAGTCTATAAATTTAATAATGGATCCAACAACGTTCAGTCGTTATGTAGTTTAAAAATTATGACGAAGTTGGATTATGGTAAGATAAACTAATAACCAAATAAGAATCATATATCCACGTAGAAGAAACAGCTTCTTTGAAAAAAACTCTAAATAAAATAATCTGTTGTAATTATTCTTAAAACAAGAAACCGTAATTATATTAAAACTACCAATTCATGGAAAATACACTGAACTACATGTTAAACAGGTTTCTCTATAGATTAATAATCTATGCACGTAATTTATAATTACTAACAACAATAGATATCATATCTTAATCTACCGTAGACTGAGTAGCTAAATAGTATCGTTATGTATCCACCATACACCAAGGGTCACTTAAAACTTCAGATACAAATCATAATCTGAATTTCAAGTCAAACTCATATTCATCTATTAGTCTTGTTGTTTTCTATAACTAATTGTTATTTACTCCTCAACCATGTTTTATTGTTTCAGTTATCATAATTAGACTCCATTAACTATACAATGAGTTTATTAACGTAATCCGTACAACACAACCACATACATAAATATAATATGACGAATTGATAGAATATAGTAATAAATTAGGTAACCTTGATGGAAAGATACAAACCATTAAAAATATGTAATTAAAAAGTGGGTGTATCTCAGTAAAATTGCTTTATATATATATATATATATATATATAGAAATACGTTGAAATAAAAATATTCTAAAATGAACTGAATCAATTCGACTACTTTCTTTTGATTTTCTACAAAAGCTTACTTCCTCAAAAACTCTCAAAGCTGCAAGCAGATTGCCATGGAGATCACCACAGATAATCAAATGGTGTTCATCTTCAAGTTGAATTTCTGTTAGATTTGGTTGTTGGCTAAAAAATTCTGTAGCTTTGTTCAGTATCGAAGTGAAGAAGTTGGTGGGAATTATCTAGCAATTCAAAAAAAATTTAAATTCATTCACAGGGTAATATAAATGAGTCAAGTTTTCACTCCTTACTAATCATTGTACAATGTAATGATGAAACAACAGGATAGTAATTACTGAGTCCAGTTCAAACGCCATTTGACCTACATCAGCTAGGGCAGTATCAAAAGCTCACATAGAAAATACATAGCTCAAAAAGGGGTGCAGAAACCTGTGTTGATAAGTGAGTTTACCTGGATCTACAAATTCATTATTATTATTATTATTATCATTAATATTATTATTTCCAAGATGCGAGCAAACACACCAAATGACTTATTTAGGTGATTGGAGGTGGGTTGGACATGAGGCTGGTAACCCCATCCCGTAGGAAGAAATCTCGCTAAAAAACGCTAACCAGATTAAACAAATTAAACCATTTAAACTTTTCCCTCCGAGTTCAAGGAAGAATTATGATGCCTCAGGATTAAAGTCGAGATCCTTCAAAAGTCACAAGGCCGATGCCCCTTCTAACAACCAGAACAACAATTAATATAGATACATGGTACGTCCGGACAATATGGGAGACCAGGAAAATCAGTCGAATAGCAAAGGAAATAAGGAGATAAAAAATTGACAGTACTTGGAATCAACGAAATCCATTAAACTCAAGCAGGAGAGCAAAGGCTAGATACAAAAGAGATGCTTCTGTACTCCGGCCACGAAGAAGAAAATGTTCCATACACTCAGGGAGTTGCTATAATGGTGTCTATAGAAGCAAAAAATCTACTTGTGGGATGGGAACCTCACGGATCCAGAATCGTCAAAGCATCGTTCAAAACAAAGGAGGGGCTGCAATCAATCATAGCGAAATGCTCAAGAAAGGACCTCACAATCCTGATGGGAGACCTAAACGCCAAAGTCGGAGTGGACAACACCGGATATGAAGAAATCATGGGACGACATGAACTGGAAGAGAGAAATGAAAATGGGGAGAGATTTGCAAACCTACGTGCATTCAACAAATCGGTTGTAGGTGGCACAATATTCCCCCACAAACACATACATAAAGCTACATGGATCTCAATGGAGCACACCACAGAGAACCAGATTGATCATATTTGTATCAACAAAAAATTCCAAAGAACAATGGAAGATGTGGGAAGCAGGAGAGGAGCTAACATAGCTTTAGATCACCACCTGGTTGTGGCCAAGATAAAACTGAAGCTAAAGAAACACTGTACAACTGGTGCAACAGCATTACAAAGGTTCAATACGGCCTTCCTTCAAGATACTAACAAACTCAAAGAATTCAATATAACTCTCAACAACAGGTTACAAGCCTTACAAGATCTACAGAAAGAAGAAGTTACAATGGAGGACAAGTGGAAAGGGATCAAAGAAGCATTAACTTCAATGTGTCAGGAGGTTCTGAGTCGCAAGAAGCCTCATCATAAGGAATGGTTCTCGATGGGAACCCTAGACAAGTTTAAAGAAAGGAAGAACAAGAAACTAGCAACTAACAACAGTCGAACACGACCAAAGAAAGTCAAGGCACAAGCAAAGTACGCAGAAGCAAACAAGCAAGTGAAGGAGGGTATTAAAGCCGACAAACAGAAATACATGGGAGAACTAGCAACGACGGCAGAAAAAACTGCAAGAGAAGGGAATATAAAACAACTACATGATACAACGAAGAAACTGGCAGAGAGATATAGTAAACCAGAGATACCCGTCAAGGACAAAGAAGGAAAGACAATCACTGAGATTGAAGAACAGAGGAAAAGATGGGTAGAATACTTTGAGGAACTGGTCAATAGACCAGCCCAAAACAATGCTGTCTACTCACCCCTTCCTCTTTCTTCTGGTGATTGACTGGATTATGAAGACCTCGACATCTGAGGGGAAGCACGGAATACAATGGACATCTCAGAATCAATTAGATGATTTGGACTTCGCAGATGATCTAGACCTCCTATCCCATACACACAAACAAATACAGACGAAGACAACAAATGTGGCAGCAGCCTCTGCATCAATAGGCCTCAACAGACACAAAGGAAAAAGCAAGATCCTCGAATACAACACGAAGAATGCCAACCCAATCACACTTGATGGAGAAACGCTGGAAGAGGTGGAAACATCCAAGTGCCTGGGAAGCATGATTGATAAACAAGAAGGATCTGATGCAGACGTAGAGGCGAGGATTTTGGCAAAGCAAGGGCTGCATTTCTATAATTAAAGAACATATCAAACTCAAAACAACTCTCAACTAATTTCAAAGTGGGAATCTTCAATACGAACATCAAGGCAGTTCTACTGTATGGAGCTGAAACCTGGAGAACTACTAAATCTGTCGTCAAGAAGGTACAAGTATTAATAAACAGTTGTCTACGCAAAATACTCAACATTCACTGGCCGGATACCATCAGCAACAGCCTTTTATTGCAGAGGACAAACCAGCTTCTAGCTGAAGAAGAAATTAGGAAAAGACGTTGGAAGTGGATTGGACAAGAATTAAGGAAATCACCAAACTGCATCACGAAGCAAACCCTAACCTGGAATCCTGGAGGGAAGGAGAAAAGAGGAAGGCCAAAGAACACACTACGTCGGAAAATAGAAGCAGACATAAAAAGGATGAATAACGACTGGAAAGGGTCGCCTAGGATAGGGTTGAATGGAGAATGCTGATTGGCGGCCTATGCTCCTCCACGAGGGGTAACAGGCGTAGGTAAAAAAAAATATATTCAACCACTTCTAGTTTTGATTATTCCCCTGAAAATGCTTAGACCAGAATGCCGAGTAAAATATTGGATGTATTTAATTTTAATTGCTGAGATTTTTCCAAAGTTAATTTCGCTCTAATGTCTTCTATAAAATTGGAACCCAAATATTGTAAAACTACTAATTCGACATTGAATAGGAATAATATATTTGTAAAATCTCAGCGAATGAATTTGTAGAGATTTTATAAATATATTATTCCTATTCAATGTCTTACATCAACTCAGCGCTTAAATACTGTGAAACTATTCGCTCTAATTTAGACGAGAGTTCTTATATACTAATTCGAATTCAGACAAAAATTCCTACAAAAAAGGGATATTATAGATAATTAGATTTATAAGAGATATAACATTGCTTAGAGTTACGGATACTATCGCTCATTATCTGGTAGCTCTAAAATAGTAACTAAAAGCATATTACATTTACAAAAACAAGGGATTTTTTTCCATAATTGATGAACTTGTCGTTTCAAGAGATTGAACATACTTTATCTGACCGTATCCAAGTAAGAAAAGATAGAAAATTCTCTTCAGGTATTGGAAAGTGTAGATGATTGGGGTCCGGATTGAAATCGCTTGTAAATGAAGGTTCCCTATTACACAAAAACTTGTTGGATGCTGAAATACAAAAATAAATGAAGAGCAGGACTAGGAAATTAATAAGAACCAAATGATCATATGGGTATTTTGCAATGTAACTACTAAAACTTTGATAGAATAACCAATTGACCGTCAGACTTAAACTTTGGTAAAAACTGATCGGAACTTGAGACCAACAGCTAGCAAGTTAGGGGAAACTAAACTAAAACATGATCCTCGATATTGTCAAGGACTGAATCATACTGAGAAGGACTACAGTATTGATACGAGTCACAAACCAAGTACGAAAGCTAGTCAACTTAGTCAATTTGAAGGAAACGCTTGAACCGAATTAAATTTTTACTAAAAAAAGAATTGGTATAAATCACTCCAAATAATGACGAACTTCAGTGAATATGTTATAAAGTATTGAACGTTGTTCAAGATAACTTAATTAATAATTTGAAAAATCCTATTATACAGTATACTTTGCAACCATTGATATGCAAACATCTAATCGTTTTACTGACAACCGTTCTATAAACTCTTTGTGTTATATACTAGTGAAGACATAAGTATGGGTACCTTCCGGGACCTATTATTGGACTATTATTCTAAATATATTTTTACCATATAACTGTTCAGTGATTAGCTTTAATCTATACATATTCATCTTATTATAAGCTTTATTTTGACCTATAAATTATTAATATACGGTTTACTGTCCCTAAATTATATTGTTTGTTATTACTTTCTCCCACACTCACAGCCACATTTTACTTGATCTTGTATAAATATTATTTCGACTTTATGGTGTGATGCGGTTTGTCTGTCTGGTATATACACCAAGTGTGTTTGAAATAAATGATTCACATAGCAGCTGTTATTGGTGTTCTGGACTCAACTGGAAAGGCTATGCGGACAAAGGACCAATAAGGACGCTAGACTGTTCATATCGGTCGAACGTCATTGGTTTGGCACAGTGCTAAGATTAGACAAGTATTCCGATTGGTGGATAAATCATGTGATAAAAAGCCGGGTATAAATCACAACAAATTGGCGACGGCCTTTTTTAATTCATAACACCTTGTTGTCTTTTTTCACCGACGCTTGTCGTTTTGGTTCTTCAAGTTGTTTCAAATCCACTAGGTTAGAAAAAAAAGATCTAAACTGCTAAACTGTTGAGTTGTATATCGTTTTATTTAATTATCTTTGATGAACAAATAATTTAACCACTTTTTTATTTTAATGTCAAGGAGGAAGTTTTTGATAACTCGATGAGACGACATTTTCGATTGTTGAAATCAATGAATAGCATCCGAATCAATAAACGAACGCAATGATACAATATGGTCGGGTGATGGCTACTCATGAGATCGTGTTATTAACTTAACCCCCCAGGATGATTATAAACCCAAGACAAGACCACTAGCCAAATGAATGGATTTCTGTGCCGGAAAATAAAATGCTGAGATACGGAATATGAACACAAAGTGAACATAACTAAATATCATAGGTGAATGGGGGAAATTAACTTGCATGTCACGCGTTTCCCAGTTGGTTAAGGCCCAACTTTTGGGTAATACATCATTCAGTCATGCATCAACATATACGATAAACTAGTCACTACAGTGGGTTTCAATAATAACTATGATAAAAACTGATGAAATGGATACAATAAAAGGCTAAATTTAATGGAAATAATTATCAGTGTGAGGTTGTAGGGATTACTGAATTTCATTGAAATCATGAACCAATCTAATTCAGACCATTCAATATCTGAATGCATTGGATAACCGGTTCGTCCTAGTGTGGGGCTCCTCAGCAGTGCCTATTCACGACTCAGCATGCTGTAATCGAACCCAAGATTTCCAGTTTCACGCATGAACACCTAACCTTCAGATCACTGAGCCAGCATCCAACAGTTTTAATGTCTAACTTTAACCAATCCATTATTTAGGTAAGCACATAAATATTGGTACAATCCATGACATAGCACGACCATCTTCCATTGTCTTCGATGGGCAACTGCCTCACACCCGACATTAGATAGTCGTGCTATGTTATGGATTAGTCGAAGTTAGACATTAAAACTGTTGGATGCTGGCTCAGTGATCTGAAGGTTAGGTGTTCATGCGTGAAACTGGAAATCTTGGGTTCGATTACAGCATGCTGAGTCGTGAATAGGCACTGCTGAGGAGCCCCACACTAGGACGAACCGGCTATCCAATGCATTCAGATATTGAATGGTCTGAATTAGATTGGTTCATGATTTCAGTGAAATAATTGCTTAATCGTCATTTACATAGCATTAAAAACAACAATCTGATGGAAAGTACAATTTTATTGTGAAATACTTAGTAGTTGATTTAGTATTTAGTGAAAAGGAAGACAAGTCTACACAACGAAACCTAATTATAACACTTCTAAATGGTAATCATACGTGTATTTTAGCTACTAAACAATATAGCTTTGAATGTCTTGTGGAAAACATAATTAATAAAAACCTGTGAATAACTGAACACAATTTATCAACAACAGAGAAAAATTGTAACTCATGATTAAAAGTATGTTGTTTCATATTCTTGGAAGTTGATTTTTCGTGAAATTAAAAGAGGAAGTGACTCAACTTGGTGATGAAAGCGTGATCGTTAAATATAAAAGCCCGTATCACATCAAAATTTACTACCATTATTCTTATTTTGAGTTTTACTAGCATTTACACGTCATATATTTATTTATTGTAGGAATTTTTTAAAAAAAAGAACCGATCACAACAGATATTGAACAATACAAAACAAACAAATAACAAGTGATAAATCTAAATTTCGTCTCATTAGTGTTTGCTAAAAATTTCTGTGCGGAAAACATTAAATCACCCCAACCAAAAAATATAGCAACCTTACCATCTTTATCCCCGAAGCTAGATAATATGAGCTGTAACTAAGCAGAAAAGGCAATGATAAAAATAATTCTACAATGAGTAAACGCCGTAGACAAAAACCTCAATTTCATGGTTTAAAAACATATTGTTCGGAGGAATAAATTTAACTTTCTGAGCGACCACGTAAGCAACAATGCATGTTCGGGATGGGATTCTCTCCCTCGAAATGCCAGATGTTACTTCAGGATTGGGTTGCATCAACACCTAAACTAATGATAGGGAGTGAAGTAGTTGAGCGTGTCGACCGCTTCACTTATCTTGGGAGTCTTATCAGCCCTTATAGTCTGGTGTGTGACGAAATCTCAGCACGGATACAGAAGACGAATCTAGCTTTTGCCAAATTGCATAATTTATGGAGTAGGCGAGATATCCGTCTACCAACCAAAGGACGGGTTTAATGCACAACAGTTTGTTCCGTCCTACTTTATGGCAGTGAAACATGGCCGGTAAGAGTAGAAGATATTCATAGGTTACTAGTATTCGATCATAGGTATCTTCGAAGCATTGCTCGTATATCCTGGGACCACCGAGTAAGTGATGCGGTTGTGTTAGGAGACAGCATGAAGTCACTGACAAGTGAACTGAGTCATGTTTGTAGGTGTGGACTACCTAGTTGGGATTCGCGAGATGATAGCAATCAATGGTTAGAGACCTTGAATGACATGGCTCAAAATCCTTTGCAATGGCACAGGTGCATCCACTCTTTGTGTTCTCCCAAACTCTGGTGTTCTGAATTTTTCATGTCCCTGTCTCTTTCAAAATCTGTTTCAATAGACTATACTCCTTGAATAACATCTTCAAACCCTAACCATTCCGATTACTACTTATACTTTTACTACCTCTACCACTATGGGATTTAAATCGACAATTGTATCGCAGTGCTAATGTGGTATGGTAACTTGAACTGATGTACGTATGTATGAAGTTCTACGTTGTTGCTGACTGGCTGACTGACTTTTGAGTGAATGTTCAGCTATTAGGTCCATAAAAATAAAGTATCTTAAAAGCAATGATAGTTCGGTTTAAAATTTTCGTGCAAAAAACTCCAAGTAACTTGGTTAACATTTGAGTTTCTGAAAATTTTTAATTTTAAAAGGTAGAACCAAGTGTGGTTTACTAAACAATAAATAAAAAATCAAATCATACGATATGAGGTTCAATTATTTGCTTCAAAATAGATTTGACTATATAAAACATGATACCACTTAATGTACTTGGTCCAGTTTTAAGTTTTAAATTAAATTTATGGATTAGATATCTTTGTTAAGTGTATGAACAAATATAATTTAAAATTTTACTGGACCTAAAAACACTCCACTGATGAGCTTTACTGGAATCTCTCCAGACCAAATATTGTATTTTTATTTAATTTATTTAAACACATACATATTGGTACAAAGGGGCACCAGATACATGTGCGCCACATATATTGCATAGACTGAAACTTCAATAAAACAATCATTCAGTCAGCTACAACGTAGGACCAGGCACATATATGCATCGGTCCAAGTTGTCATAACACATTAACACAACAAGATAAACATCAAATTCATAGAAACAGTTACTTCACTGGTAGTAATATATAAAAGAAAGATTGTGTGTAAGGATATGATATAGGAAGAAAGAATTAGTTTGTAAAAATAAAGGTATAAAGCCATCTTAATCTCACGGTTCAAGGGAACACAAAGAGTGTATACAACTACGCCATTGTGACCGATTCTGAGCCATGTCACCCAGAGTCTCCAATCATTGGTTACAAGAGTCGCGCAGACCCCGGCAAAGTAGTCGACATCCACCAACGTGGCTCAGACCAAAAGTTAGTGACTTCATAAACTGATGCTAAGTTTTGATTTGGCCGCCCCTAACTTTCTTTTAACCGTCTCCAACACTAGTCAGCATTGCGGGTCGTGGTAATTGGTGTTCAGGCATACGTAACACATAACCACTCCAAGAAATATGTCTCTACTAGCTTGAGAGCAAAAGAAGGATACGATGATAGATTTGTACATCATAAGCAGTGGTAAGCCCTGAAAACTTAGCAACCTTTCTGTACAACCGAGTTAAAAACAATCTAACCCGAAATTTCTTACCTGTAGTCTACAACAGAGGTGGGTATACATTACTAATAGTCTGCGAATCCGCAGATAGTATGTCGGAGGCCGGATATACAAAGTACTAAAGTACTCTTAATTAAAACAGTGAAACTCCTGCTTTCTAAGATTAGTTTTGATTACAATTAAGTATTCTACCAAAAGAAATAACGGTTAACAAACCTTTTGATTCAAATGGATGTGACGTAGAGTGAAAATAATCATCAAAATCAGTTCTGGCAACTTAATTTCTGCATCATTAGACGCAATACCATTACACAGGTAACTAAAAGCGCTATTTATTTACCCCATGACATTTTATTTTGATATAATTGAGATAATCATGTGGCTATGATTGATAATTGACTATGTAAATGATTATAAACAAATAAGGTAAGTGATACATATCTATTGTGACTCAATTACAGACTGAGAGATACACCTACCAAACTGATAGAATTTATTAAAATAGAATGGGCTGCAATGCCAAATTTGCCAGATTATTCACTTTATATACTTAACATATATTTAAATCTACTATTCTGACCAAGGATATTAAGGACACGATTCTCCCCACTCTCAGCCGTATCAGGGCATCGAGAACACTATTACCTGACTAAAAATATAATCTATCCGATGAGAATTAATATGAGTCAATATACAGCATAATTAACGAAGCATTTTTGAGATTTCATTATAGACCCATGTTACTTTTAAATAACTTTATATTATTTCACCTCTATCTTTTTTACGTATATTTCTGAGTGATTGTGCAGGACTCAAAAAATCCTATGGCTGACTGAATGACGACCGGAGGCTGCAGCTTGATTACCTTCGGTATATAATAATTAGTTTTAAATACATATGCGACCAAAGTATCGACAAGTTTCAAACGTCAGAATATTTTAAAGTAATAACAAATAAGGGCGAAATCTAAGTCTTAGTCATTAAACCAAGTACATTGAAATGCGGATGAAAACTTTAGGGCTCTAAAAATGACATGATAGTCTAGGTTAATATATGTGGTTAGATTTGAAATAACATAAAGTTTATTGAGTCTGACTTTAATATGACGTCAAACAAATGACCACAATAAATTATTACTAACCCCTTCAGAATCACTTTCATCCGTTACGTATTCTAACGACTGGTTTACTTGCCATGCACACTTACGACGAAATTCCAATCTCGCCTTGCACTTTCTGTACCAACATTGGATTATCACAGCAGCTTGGAAAGCTAAAACAATAAGTTATAGTGCACTTTCTAACTCATTGACATAGATTATCAATCCTAGGATTCTAAACTAGCAAGTGCAAAAATGTTGGATACTACACTATATTGATAACTAAGAAATACTAAGTATATGCCCGAATTTCTGACCTATGATCTTACTAGGGACAAGTTAAATGCTTAACAAACCCTACTTCGTCAAAATAACTTTGATAAGAGTTCGTATCAAATGTTGGTGAACAGTAAGCCAACTACTTCAGTAGCCAAAAGTCAATTACTTCATTAAATTGTGAGTCCACAGCTTTCACTGACAATACTCAAGATTTAATGCTGCAAATATAAGTTTCACCGAAATCTAATACCTGACGTTGGAAATCCACAATCTGAACACTCAAAAAGGGAAACGAAATGATAAATGAGAAGGTAAATTTTAGTCACATCTGCACGTAGTTGCTAGTATACACAACAGGTAGGGCGATAGCTTAGGTTAGAACCCGATTTCACTCATTTCGGTCCGATGGGCTGGGTAGAATCATCAGTTCTCCCCAAAAAAGTGGCTCAATGTTAAGAACAGCAACTTGTACTCAAGAAATAAGTTAAACTAAGATATATGATGAACCGAGTATCTAGAGTTATCTTTTGCCGAACGTTACCACCTATAAGTTTTCGAAATAGAGATTGGAGTGAATTGAAAAGCATTTATTTAACTTGTAATACATATATGGCCTAAAATGGCCTAAGGTGAACTACAGTGGATTAGATCATTATATTTTGTCAACCTTTCACAGTTTTCAGTCATAGTGTACAGTGAGTTTTTTTGATGTCTTATTTCAATGATTTTTTTCTCACAAAACTTACGATTCAAACAGAAATAACCGGTGAAGAAATAGAAATGTGATAGGTTTAACTGTTATCGACTGTAAATCGTAATTCTCAGGCAAATGGCAGGCAAGTTTCAGATTTACAAAAAGTGAGTAACGCATAACTCCACATTAGGAATTAAAATTAGAATCGACTGAAACGCCAGGTAACTTAGCTGTTTCATGTAAGATTTTCGAATCAAACGCCACTTCTGAATGCAACTACGTTTGGATACCTTGTAGAATGTGCGTAACTGAAATATATAAATTGAAGAGACAAGTGTCTAAAACAACTTGTATCATAACGTTTATGTGATCCATTATCTAGTTCAGATGTTCCACAAAATCTTGTAGCTCAACTGAGTAATAATAAAAATCACATTACTTTAAATTGATCCACTATTACACTAAGATCTATATAGCTTACCACAGCATATATATATATAATGCAAACGAAATGGGATATTATGAAACAACTTCGGGTTGTCGTGTAAGGTGAATTTTCTGGTGAATATACGTTGCTCAAAAAATGGTGGACGATATTAGTTACTTTTAAAACAATCAGTCCCATTTAAAAATTTTGATAGTGTGATGAGATAGAATTGATTCGAATATTTCAAACAGTTGACTCTGCTTTCATGAATAAATCCCTTGAGAAATAAGTGTGTGACCATACTGTTCCAAATGTGTTGTTCAAACTCCATCTCATCACATAATCGAAACATTAGATACATGTTGTGAGCGTGCCCTTACGAAACAGTGATATCTTGCATTACATACGTGCAGAATTGCTAATTAAATATGACAAGAACTTACATAAATTTTGGTCAGCATTAACAATCTTTCCTTTCCTTCCCAACATCATAAAAAATTAAAAGTTCATAGTCCCATAGCATGTGTTATGTGGTTGCACTTTTTAGACTCCTAGTATTAGGCAAGCTAACTAATATAACTAAATTCGAAGTGTTTTGTCGGTGAGCTGTAAAACAAAGAACAGTCAGATAACAAAGACAACAACGTATAAAAATTGTGCTTGTTACAATATAACTACTACGGTGTGGGTGAATAACTAGCAAGATATCAAAGCAAAACGTTTTTTCTTTTATCACATGTCGATAAGGTATATTTGCAAGTGACGCTTTATATAGATCTACAACACAAACAATACACTATGAGTGCAAATCGTACAGATATTTATATGAACACCGACACTTCTATACACGTATATATATATATATATATATATATATATATATATATATATATATATATATATATATATATATATATATACGTTTAGATATAATCATAAATAGACAGTCCTTTTCGGTAAATCACAGACAAATTTTATTTTGTACCACAAGATTTACAGTAAATATGATAGTACATACGACATCCATATGTTTTAACCGAGTTCCAAGATGTTGAACTTCCTGCCTTTCTAAAACAGTTCATATGTGGTGCATCCAGACCCACTTATTGAACTAATTTGTATCACTACACATTATGGCACATTTCTCAGTGGGAAACAAGTTGAAAGGGTGTCTAATGAAAGATATCGAAAAGCTAGCAGTGTCCTTAGACTAGGAACAAGCAGCCGATGTTTTCTTGATGACAGATTTATCCTCGAAATACGATTGTTATTACGTGGGATTACAGAAGACAAGCAGAAAATGCCCTATGATAACAATCTAAGTTTACATTTTAGACACCGACGCTTATAAAGGATGTATGGGGGTAACTAGGTTACAAACTTGGGACTATGGAGAGTTTGGTACCATATTTAGTTTTAATTCGACGCACGTTCAATGAATATAATCCCAACTTTCGTGATCTAATTCATCCGTAGTTAACAACTCAAATGATCTCTCAAGCACCTGAGATCTGACTTTATGGATTATTTGAACAGTCAATATGAGGATATTACATAAATGCAGTACTCAACATAGACATGTTAAATTCACACAAGCGTATACCCATTACAGAATGCAAGCAAGAGATTTAGATTTGTGATATTTGGATATAATGAGTACTTTGCATATTGTTATGCGCCCAATTCGAAGTATAATACTGAATTGCTTCTGACTTGAGTGGTGGCCTAGCCGTGATTGTAAGATTGTTCTAGTAACCCCTAGTTTCTGAACTCATGTCTACTACTGTTACTTACCACCGTTAGTCTAATCATAAGTACTGTGCCCATTTGTGCGATTAGTCATATATCTTCATCTGCATAATATATGCTTGTTCATTTGCTTATCAATCTTGCTTTAAAATTTTCCTGGTCTGCACAACTTGAGATACTTTAACTACTCATCACTTCATACACATCCCCCTCATACATTACATCTCATACCAGTCCAACTCAAATTAAACCTGTGGAATACAATCTTGGCCCATCATAATTTAGCTACCAGTGCTTGACACTCTGTGACGTGAAATTACCTTCCTATACAGTTACTTATAATTCTAGTGCCAGCCTAATTGCCCTATTTGGGGGTTTTCCCCAAAGTTTGGAGAAATATTGGTGTTCCTATAGCGGCTTCCCCAAAATAGGAAGATTGATAGTGTAATTGGCATTCGAACACCATTCCAATTAGATTCTATGTATAATAAGCGTACAAACTAATCCGTATGTTAATCCATAATATTAATTAGCTTGATTATTCAAATATGCATCAAGTAGTATAACTATTCGAATGTTTAGTCCATCTGTTTATTTTAAGTCATCCAGAATGATAATACGAACGCAACAATAACCGAGAAAACAGTCACATACATCATTAATAAACAAAACCTTACTATTGAACAGTCACGAACTAGTGATTTCAAAACTCCCTCCTACTTACTTAATATGTATTCTCAGTACAAATAGATTCAGGTTCGTAATTTGAGCAGAGAGCAGAGATTTAAGCTAGAAATCTCCTAGTCTGTTTCTCCTTGTACTTATTCTACCCTTGAATATGTCAAGCGAAGCCGTAAACGCTTACTTCATAAATTTTTTTAACTTTACCTATATCCTTGTCGTGTTTTTAATTGTTCTGGCCTAGTTAGGAATGAAAGTAAGGGCATATTCCTGGTGTCTAAGGTGAAAAAGCAGCAAGAGATCCAATTCACAAAGCCACTCGTCATAAACTTCAGCACATCTAAGGGTGAATGAGTAGTGATTCTCTTGTAGCTGTAAATAATTCCCCAAAATCAATAGCTCATTAAGTGCTCGACATTGGATGCTGACCACGTTGTTTAGGTGGACTTGTTTAACTGAAGGCTTTCGGTCATGCATCCGTACCAGATCACGTTGCAACACGGCGTGGGACACAGCTCCTACGTTCATTAGCCAGCTTATAGTGAAGGTTCCTCGATATATTGGTAACGTATCAAATATATCTTTTCTACCTCTCCTCGTCTGACTCCTGGTTTCTATTCGACTGTGAAAGAACGGTTATAGAAGATACTACTGGTTGCTAGTTGTAAAACTAGAATATCCGTTGTATCCTCAGTGGTGAGACCGACGTGATCTGGCACACCAAGTCAATATACTGTGAGTCTGTTCCATTTTGGAATATTATTATTCATTGTTATTGTTTATTTGAATTTTATATATTGTGATATACTGTTTTTTCGCGAATTTTTTTCCCGGATATATTTTAATCAGACATTTTTCGTTATCTGTATTACTATGACGGAACACTCACCTAAGGTTTTTAAGTTAAAGTCTATTCCCCCTATTTCGATTCAGTTAACGCCATTTCGGCCCGACAATATCAAGTCCTGGTTCTGCTATGCAGAAGCCGATTTCTGCATGCACAGAATCACGGACTCACGCACACGTTTCCTCGCAGTAGTTAAGGCGTTAACGCGCGAGTTTAACAGGTACGTAACACCTAGTATGTTTACTAGTGGTGTTCCCGAACCTTACGAAATTCTCAACCAATCGATTTTAAAACGTGGAGACCCAACTGATCGACAACGGTTAGACCAACTCTTCCATAACATCGACTTGCAACATGGTTCTGCGACGGACATGTTGCTTAGAATGAGAGAAGTCATCGGCCAACGAACTTTCGATGATGGCCTATTTAGACAACTTTTCTTGTCTAAACTCCCTCAACAGGTGCAGGCAGTGCTTGTTTCATTTCAAAACAATGCCATAAATGAGTTGGCTGCATCTGCCGACCGAATCCTAGAAATCAACAAATCCACTAGCGCCGAGGTTTTTTCCGTCAAAGAAAGACCCCAATCGACCTCGACTGACATAACCGAACTATGTCACACGCTTACACGATATCTTAGAGTTCGTAATGACCGTAGTCGGTCAAAAACCCCGCGTAGAAGCGTTTTACGTAGGCGATCTGGCTCTTGACCACGACAGACACAATCCCGACTGGTGCTGGTATCATAACCAGTAGGGTAAGTTTTCCAGAAATTGCGGGAAACCCTGCAATTTTCCGACCTCAAAATCGAATGACACGAATAAGATTTCGGGAAACTTCCCAGCCGGCACGCGTTAGCCGGCAAACACAGCCGCCTCTTATATGTCACGGATGTGACCACGAAAGTTCGCTACCTCGTCGACACTGGCGCAGAAGTTTTCGTTCTTCCAGCAAATCGCAACGACAGACTGCGCGGTTCTGTTTTACGTTTACAGGCGACAAACGGAAAGCCGATCGCTACTTACGGTAAAAGGTACGTCTACCTTAACGTGGGTTTACGCAAACCCACACATCGGATTTTCGTGGTTGCAGATGTCTCTATGCCAATCATTGGTATAGACCTGTTACAATACCACAATCTACTCATCGACACACGCTCACGAAAGTTAATAGACGGAAACACTAAGTTATCTGTTTGCGTAACTCCTTGTTCTGGTTGCAGGTTATCCCCAGTCACGATTAAGCACACTATAGACCCCTTGTACCAATCAGTACTCGACAAATACACCGGGATATACCAATCGCAATCGAAATTGCCTTGTGTAACCAGCAATGTTACACATCACATCTCGACTACAGGACCACCTGCATTTTCGAAAGCCCGTCGACTCGCTCCCGAAAAGCTTAGGTTAGCCAAAAACGAATTCGACCATATGATAGACTTAAGGATAGTTCGACCATCGAATAGTCCATGGTCATCCCCATTGCACATGGTCCCTAAAAAGGACAGCAATGATTGGCGGCCAACTGGTGATTATCGGCGTCTGAATGCAAAAACCATTCCTGATCGTTACCCGCTGCCTCATATTCACGATTTGACAGCTACCTTGAAAGGTACAACTGTCTTTTCAAAAATCGACTTGGTTAATGCTTATAATCAAATACCGATGGCACACCTGACGACGTTCATAAAATCGCCATCATCACTCTTTTTGGTTTAAGAAACGCGGCTCAAACCTTCCAAAGGTTTATAGACGACGTCTTTCGAGGTCTCAACTTCGTACATGCGTATGTTGATGACTGTCTCATAGCAAGTCCAGACAGAGAATCACATCTCAAGCATCTGGACATTGTTTTCGATCGACTCCAAAGGCATAGCATTACTGTAAACATTCAGAAATGCCAAATCGAAACTAACTCCTTAGACTTCTTAGGACACACCATTGATGCTCAAGGCATCCGACCCCTTAGAAGCAAAGTGGCGGCCATTCTGGATTACCCAGAACCGACCACGATCAAGCAGTTGCGAACTTTTAGCGGCCTTGTAGGTTTCTACAGACGGTTCATACCTAAATGCGCGTCCCCTATTAAACCGTTAACCGACCGAATTCGTGGAAATGCAAAATCAATTAGTCTAGACGACACCGCTCGAAAAGCATCCTTCACAGTTATGAAACATATCGCTAAGGCAACCCTGCTTGCGCATCAAGACACT